GAGGATGGTGAAATGGGCGATCTTCCTCAGCCAGTATCAGATTGAGTTCAAGCCAAGGCCATCCATCAAAGGGCAAGCCTTGGCCGACTTCGTCATTGAATGCACAGCAAGGGAGATGGCCGTCGCCAACCCCGGGCCGGAGCCGGACGATACGTGGACCCTGTTCACTGACGGCTCGTCGGCCGCGAAATCATGCGGCGGTGGCGTCGTCCTCATATCCCCTGAAGGGTTCAGAGCTTACTATGCCATCCGCTTCAACTTCAGGGTATCCAACAACGAAGCCGAGTATGAGGCCCTCCTCAGCGGTCTCAGACTCGCCGCCGGCCTCAAGGCCAAGCACCTCAAAATCAAGTGCGACTCCAAACTGGTAGTGGGCCAGGTGGAGGGATCGTACGAAGCAAAGGAAGGCCGGATGAAGCAGTACAAACAAGCGGCAGAGGAATTGCTGAAAGCGTTTGAAACCCACGAGATCACTCAGATCCCCAGGGCCGAGAACGCCGAAGCCGACATCCTCTCCAAACTCAGCTCGGACACCCCGGAGCACATCTCCCAGTTGGCCAAGATCGAGGAGTTGAGCATGTCCAGCATCCATGCCAGCCCCGTCTTGTGCGTCCAACAGCGACCAGAGGACTGGATCTCCGACATCGCCACCTTCATCACAACGGGGGAGCTGCCCCCGGACGAGGAGAGGGCCAAACTTGCCAAACTCAGGGCCCCAAGCTACACCATCGAAGATGGCAAACTCTACAAACGGTCCTATAATGGCACCCTCCTCCGATGCCTACACCAGGATGAGGCCGACATAGCCATGGAAGAAGTTCATTGTGGCGTCTGCTCCTCACACCAAGGCCCTTTCAGCATGTCCCGGCGTCTCGTCGTCCAGGGCTTCTTCTGGCCGACGATGGCACGCGACTGCGCTGACCTGGCCAGGAAGTGCACCACCTGCCAGGTGCTCCAGAAGGCCCCTGGTCGGCCAGCTGTCAACTATGCCCCTGTCAGCACCGCAATTCCATTCTCCAGATGGGGGATTGACCTGGTCGGCCCCCTGCCCAGAGCCGCCGGGAATAACCGCTACATCATCGTCGCCGTCGACTACTTCACCAAGTGGGTCGAGGCGGAACCCTTGGCCAGCATCACGGGGGCCAGATGCCAAAAATTCGTTTACAAGAACATCATCACACGCTTTGGCGTCCCCCAGGAGATTATATCAGACAACGGCACCCAATTCGAGGCAGCCCTTTTTCAAGAACTCCTCCGGGAGTTTGGGGTAAAGCATCGTTTCTCCTCCGTTGCCTACCCTCAGGGCAATGGACAGGTCGAGAACGCCAACAGAACAATAATGGAGGGGCTAAAGAAGAAACTCCAGGCCGCAGGAGGTAGTTGGGTCGACGAGCTCCCCAACATCCTGTGGTGCTACAGAACCACGCCGAGGAGGGCGACAGGTGAAACGCCTTTCGCCCTGTGCTACGGCTTTGAAGCAAAGGCGCCCACGGAAGTTGCCATCCCCAGCCGACGGGTGGAACAATATGAGCCTGACACCAACGAAGAGAACATGAAGATTGACCTACACCTGGTTGATGAGAGGCGTGAACAAGCTTACGTCCGAGAAGAGAACTACCGGCGTCAAGTAAAATCATACTATGACGCCAAGGTACGTTCCCGGGAATTTCAGGTGGGGGACTACGTCCTCCGCCGAAGGGAAGCAAGCCAGCCGACAGAGGGTGGCAAGCTAGCATTGAAGTACGAAGGGCCCTACATCGTCAGTGCCGTGGTCAAACCCGGCACCTACAAGCTTAAACGCCCGAGTGGGTCCAATGTACCACGAACGTGGAATGTACACCATCTGGTGAAGTTTTATCAGTGATCCGAAGGAGGTGCAGATGGCGAAGCCCTCACCCCTTGACGGGTTACTGATTGAACGCCACCCCCGGCCTCGAGCCACTTATGAATAAAATCATGTTCTGATTTTTTCTCTGGAATTTAAAGTAAAACATTAGCAGGTGCCCCCGTCGGCCACCTTAGAGCGAAAGGCTCAGGCATGGCCGACGAGGCCCCCTTGCATTTAAAGCCTACGAGCAACAAGCTCAGGCGCTCCATTGTATTTTGTATCAGCGAAGGGCTCAGGCCTAGCTGAGAGAGCACATCGTCCTGGCCCTGTAAGCCTAGAAGTGAAACACTCAGGTATGGCCGACGATGTCCCCAGGACGAGGGGCCCGCAAACGGCCCACGTCTTGAAAAGGGAAGCTCACCGCGTCGTCCACGCGCCAGATCGCAGGACGACAAGCCTGAAATCATGGCCGAGGTGACAAAATCCCAAAACTCAGGGATGGGCAACGACAGCCGTTGGAAACCGACCAAAAGTCTAGCCCGCGTCATAAAAAGGCGACGGGACCCACCCTGAGATCACGGACGTTATAAACGAAGTCCGAACCGGCCGAAGGACGAGCACACCCTTCGGCCGAAGCCTGAAAGAAGGATACCCCCGAAAAAAAAATATATATAAGGGAAAAGAGGGAAGCCGACGGCCGCGCACACTAGCCGGCCTCGAGCAATGAAAAAATAAAATCCCCACAACTCAGGCCCAACTAGGCCAAGTACATATCAGTTGAACACAAGTGTAGTACCACTGACAAGTAACATGGACGACACGTCCACACACTATGAGGGAATAATCAAGGCCGAAACACACGCCTATAAAACCCTAACCGCATCGGTTGGGTGACACGCGAGAGGTGACCTTCATCGGCCATAGTCCTTTGAGGCACCAACGCTTGGTATGAAACAAAGCATCGCAATCCTGAGGACGACCAGGATGAAGCGGGCACTTATCACACCCGCGAAAGGATCAAGCAATCAAGAAACAACCTCTACTTGCCACAGCATCTCGGATGGCCGACGCAGGCGCTGGAACCAAGGCTGTTGGTCAAGCGAAAGTTCTTGGGGAATTCGTTTAAGTGTTTCCCAAACACTTAGAAAAAATCCTGAGAAAAGAGAGGGTTCCTCAACAAGGAACCATGGCTAGCCGACGAAGGTAGGACCATCTCCTTGGACAAACCATTCCTTATCCAGCACCCTCATCGGCCACAAGCCAGACCTTGGCCGACAGCGGCACCGCAAATAAGTAAATGCCTAACATTTATACTTAGAAAATTATCTAAGTACTAAAATGAAGGAACTCTAGCCGAAGCGGGTACCAGTATACTCCAAGGCCGTTAGCTACTTACACCTATGCATGTGTACTTGGAGAACTCTAGGTTCAAAAGATCAAGGTGAAGGTGCCCTTATCGGCCACAACAAAAGGATGCAGGCCGACAACGACACTGGTTCAAACATTTGGGAAATCTCACAAAGCATTTGTCAACAATGAGAAATCCACCGCCAGGACGATGGGAACACCTTTCCACTTGAAGTTAGACGCTTAAGAAAAATTCTAACAAAAAAGAAGAACGGGACAACGCTAGGACGGAGCGGACACCGCGGTCAAGGCCGAAAGGAGAGCACCTAAGTGGATCCAAAACACTTAGGAAATTTTTGAAAAAATCCTAAGTGTTATAATAGTTGAGAAACGACAGCCAGGCCGGTCAAGCCACCTGGCCGGAAAGACAGCAACCTGTGCGCCCTTACCGGCCACAACACATGGCCCCAAGCCGACCACCCTGATCAGATCAAAAACAAGGGGACACAACGGCCACAAAGGACACTGAGCTGACAACGTCAACATCGGTTCAACACTTAGGAAATTTCTTAGAACACATGATTAACAGTGCAAAGGGGGTATCACATCAAGACGATGAGAACACCCACCCACTCGAGGTTCCGATACTCGGTAGATTTTCCTAAGTCCTAAACTCCAAAGTACTTAGACATAACAATAAACGAGACGACGACGCAGACAGCAAGTACTACGAAAACATTTCCATTCAATATAAATTGAGTACAAGGAGGGCTTCTAGGCCGTTACATAGCACAAAGAAAGATAAAACTACAAAGGATCAGACCTCTGGAGGGGCTTCAGAGTCTTTCTCGGCCTCAGGACCCCCCTCGGCCGTGACAACAGATGTACCGGCAGGGGCAGCCGACGTGGCAGTATCTTCGAACATGCTCCGCTCATACGCCCAGTCATCGCTGATGCGTGAGCTCTCAATAGGGAGCTGCCGCTCGGCCACCGGAAGCTCCAACTCTGCCTCAGGATGCTTCATCAAAGGAGGCAACTCGAGGCCGACGGCCCACTCTTTGGACACACCGATATCCATGAAACGCCGTTGCAGCCTCCTGTACAACAACCGTTGCATCCGGTATTGGCCAAGGTCATAAAAGACCTTCATCTCCTTCTCCCAATAGGCCTGGCCGTCGGGGGATTGGTTCACCCAGTCAACGAGTCTGGCCGCCACGACCTCAAACCAGAATGGAAGCCGGCCCTCGTCCTTCCAACCGACTTCAATAAACTTCTGCACAGCGGCATCAACGGCTTTCTCCTCGGCAGCGACGAGAGCCAACTCTGCACTAGCCTTGCCCTTCTCGGCCTCCTCGGCGCGTTGAAGGGCCTCATCGCGGGCACGCTCCACGTCGGCCAAGCGCTGGAGAGCCCCTTCCTTCTCAGCGGCCAACTGGTCGGCCTCGTCGGCCCTCTTCTTAAGGCCCTCAACCTCAAGACGCAGCCTCTCTAAGCTGCCTAGCGCCTCATCGGCTGAGGCAACCTTCTGCTCAAATTGTGTCAGACGGGCAATCTCCTTTTGTTGCCTCCTGTTGTTCTCCATCAACATGAAGGCACCCTGCAGTAAAAATAAGTTAGACAACTTTGCAAAAAAAAATGGCGAAGAAAGTAAGACGAAGCGTGCACGGTTACTCACTTGGACGACGTGGTCCATCCCACCATCGTACATCTTCACGTGGCCGAGCTTCTTCAGATAAGCCCGGTCTTCATCAGGGATGGCCTGAGAAATCACCTAGTGGCTGTCAACGATTTCATTGAACAGCCCCCCTTTAACGGGGTACTCTACCTCGAGCTTATAGGTCCCTCTGACCAGCTCTCGGCCGGACCCTTTCTTCCGGGCGGCCGTTGAGGGAGCAGGAATAGTGGAAAGAGTGGTGGACGACGGGGCCTGAAGGGTGGTCCACCATAGCATCAGGATTTGAACCCTCTCCGTCCCCAGCAGGAACAGCCGACGTCCCAGCATCGCCGGCAGAAGAAGCCCTCTTTGACTTCTTGGGAGGCTTCATTCCCACCTCCGTCAACTTCTTCTGGCCCTCTTCGGCCTGCCTCTTCTTCTTCGGCTGCACCGGCGGCTTGGCCGCAGCGGTAGCCCCAGGTTGTTGGGCCTTCAGCTCCTCGGCCGCTTTGAGTTGGGCCCTCTTCATGAACGACATGCGGTCCATCACAAAACCTGCATCACAAAAAAAACACTAAGGGTTAGAAAGCAAAATACGAAAGTAAGACAAGGAAGCACGTCAGAAGGGACTTACCATCGGCCTCAGCTGGCACCCCCAGATCGGGACCATCAACCTCCTCATAGGACGTGGTCATCTTCGGCCACAACTCCACATCATCGTCGAGATCACCATACACAAAATACCGTACAAAGCCGAGGGCGGCCATCTTGTACTCGGTAATATATGTCTTCACACTCCTCGGCCCCCCCTCCAGGAAGGCCTCAACTTGAGCGTCCAGGATGGAGCTCCTCGGCGCATCATGAAGATTAAAACGGCCCGTGTGGCCGACGGAGGGAAACTCTGTGCCCCCCTCGCCCAGAGACACGAACACAAACTTCCCTTTCCACCCATGGATGGACGTCGGCAGGTCTGTGAAACTCCTCTTCTTGGGAAGTTGTTGAAGGGTGGCATACGACGCACAGTTCTGATGACTCCCACGGCCTATCTGATACAAGTTCATAAACAGCGCCGTCGTCGGCCTGAAGTCCAATTCAGCACACCGCAGGATGAAGCCGACGATGAGGGAGTAGCTATTCGGCGTCAACAAGGCCGGAGGGAGCCCCACCATATCCAGGTACTCAGTGATAAAAGGATGAAGCAGAAACCTAAGCCCTTTAGCAAAGCTCATCGGGTACACTCCGAAGTAGCCCGGGGGGGATTGAGGACATGGTCCGTCGGCCTGGGGGCCCTAACCCTGCCGTACGGCCCCACATACATTTGGGCGACCAAGTATTCCCCCGCATTACTCTGCGGCCTGATGACATAGATGTTCGTCAAATCAAGGTGAGAAAAGGCTGGCCCTCTCTTCGGCCTCCTAACCCTCCTCGGCGGTGCAACGCCCTTCACAGCAGACACAGGTTTAGGGCAGGGGATGGCAGCCGACGTAGATGCCCCATCAGCAGTTCGAGAGACCCCCGCGTCCTCACCCCCAGACGATGACGCAGACCCTTCGTCCGCATGGTCCTCTTCGGCCGGCTCCCCGGTATGGAACGAACTCAGATTCTCAATCTCCTCACAGAACTCCTCGAGAAGGTCATAGTCAAGGGACTGGGCAGAGGGCTCGTCGTCATAAGGATAGTACTCCTCGTTGAGGTTTTTCATCTTAAACAATATCTCGAATATACTGCAGCCTACTTCAAGATCTAAGGATACTCAAGGGCCTAACACTAGATCACTAGCCTAGGAAGCAAAACATGCAAAGTACAGAGAGGATTTCGATGAACACTAACCTTGAACAAACGAAGAACACGAAGAACAAGCTTCAGAGTTTATCTCTCTAGAAATCCAGGCAGCACTTCGACAAAACTCAGAAAGCAAATGAGTTTTCTCGTCGGAGGGGGAGGGGTATTTATAGAACCCCCCACCCAACGGTCACTACACGTGGCACCCTCCCAATGGCCACGTCAACGACCCCAATGAGAGGCCGCCACGTCAACAACGGGCCAAGCAAAACATCAAGAGCCCGCCAGCAAGCGCCCACAGGGGCACTACGGAGAGGCCGCCTCGGCCGGGGACTCAGGCAACTCCTTCACCCCTCACACTCTTCGGCCTGAAGAAGTGGGGGACTGGGGGACTACACCGGCCTCAACAAAAACAAAAGAGAATGCAAACAAGGTAACCACAGAGCATGGCCACATCGGCCATGCGTCACACTGCACCTCGTCGACCGAAGGCACACAACGTCATCTGCAACGGCCAACGGGCCACCAAAGGCAAGGACGCTCATCGTCCTTCGCCATCACTTAATCACGAGGGGCTCTTCGGCCAAAAACATGAGAGGTAATCAACGACGGCCAAAAGGAGTGCAAAAACACCCCCATCGGCCACCCAAAGGAAAGGACGCCATCGTCCTCAGAGCAAGGAACAACCTCAACGGCCTCATCGGCCCAAACTTCAACCATCGACGCCCATGAAAAGGAAAGCGTGCCTTCAACGGCCACCATCGAAGCGGGAGACTCATCGTCCTCGAATGAACACACCAAAGAGGAAACAACGCCAACGCCGCAACGGCTAACGACCCGGGGATGCCCGCATCGGCCAAAAGCGCTAAAACACGGGAATCTACTCTCCTTCACTTCGTCTACGTCTCAGCTTAGAGAGTGGGGGACTCCTGATGGAGTATATGGGTCTGAGCCCCTGGACCCACATACTCGGAAGAACAGAAAGCACAAGACACATAGTGGCGCCCTCATCGGCCAAGACGCCCCCGTCGGCCGAAAAGGGGCCAACTCAGATTATGGTCCTGAGCCCAAGGAACTCGGGTGCCCTCGTCGGCCGTGCCCTCGTCGGCCGTGCCCTCGTCGGCCGTGCCCTCGTCGGCCGTGCCCTCGTCGGCCACGCCCTCGTCGGCCACGAAGACCTCCCAGAACCGGATTTTATACTCATTCATTTGTACAGCCCATTAGTGGCTCTGTATTCGGCCCAGTAGCGGTCCAGTTGTAAATGGGCCTCCCAAGCCCGAGGCTTGGGAGCCCAGCCCGTATTTTCTCTATAAATACTCCCCTTGGGAGTAGTTGTAGGGGTTCAGAATTCATTAATATCAAGCAAATATACTACTTCTCTCTCTAGCTCTCACTTCTCTCTAGAGATATACTCTGTCACAGGGAACGTCCAAAACGGCCAAAACAGAGAATGTCTGCAACAGTGCCACATCGGCCAAGAAAATCAAGACCACGAGAATCTACTCTCTTTCACTTCGCCTGCATCTCAGCTCAGAGAGTGGGGGACTCATGGTGGAGTATATGGGTCCAGACCTCATGACCCACATACTCAGAAGAATAAGAAGCACAGCTGGAACCCAGTGGGTCCTCCATCAGCCAGATGGCCCTCCATCGGCTAGATGGCCCTCCATCAGCCAGAAAGATGTCAACTCAGAACATACTCTAGAAGTCAGGAGAACCGGGTGTCTCCGTCGACCGGGTCTCCGTCGGCCATGGCTCTGTCGGCCAAACCTTCGTCGACCACAGAGAGCTCACAGAACCGGATTCCATACTTAGTCAATTTACATACTTTGTATTCGGCCCATTAGAGGCCTCATTGTAATCGGGCCTCCCAAGCCCAAAACTTGGAGCCCAGCCCACATTTTCTCTATAAATACTTCCTTTGGGAGTAGTTGTAGGGGTTCACATAATCTAGCTCTCACTTCTCTTTAGAACATATACTCTATCACTTTTCTTTAATATATGCATTATACTCCCTCTGTCCCTTAAAGTTTGTCATAGTTTGACTTTTTGAGTCAAACTAGGTAGACGTTTGATCGTAATTTTATGTTATATATACCTATAAAATCTATAATAAATTGACATTTGAATAATACATATGACAAAGAATCATATAAATTAATTTTTTAGGGATAAAATATTATTAATTTTGAGTAATTAGCGGTCAAAGTTTAATAAGTTCGACTCAAAAAGTCAAACTAGGACAAACTTTAAGGGACGGAGGTAGTAATATATCGATGATAACTGTAACTTTATAAATATGATACTTTTAATATTTGATGATAAATTATCATTTAAAAGTGTTATTTTTTTTCTATAATATATATGAATAGTTATATGTTACAATCAAAATTCTAAATATATCAAGTTTAAATAATAGTGATGATCAACCATGCAATTGTGACGGTTGTGTATAAGAAATTGTTCCAAAAAGTGTAGATATCATTCATATATGGAGTATATTTTTTGTAAACTAATAACACTAATACGACGTACTTCCTTTGTGTCATTGGATGTTGCCAACTTTCTTTTTTGGTTGTCTAAAAAATTGTGTCATTTTCCTAATAAAGTAACTAATTTGAGAATTTACTAATTTCTCTCTCAATTCCAACCGGTCAACTTTTATTTTTCTTATTTACTCCCTACGGTTCTGAAAGATCTTTACACTCTGACTTCACAAATATTAAGGAGTTTGACACTATTTGGCATTGTTTGACACTGTTTTGTGTAGATTTGTAAGACAAATAAGAAGTGTAAAGATCTTTCTGGTACTGCCAAAAATGGAAAGTGTAAAGATCTTTCAGAACCGGAGAGAGTATCACCTAATTTGAAGTTGACAAAGTTCACCGAGATGTAGATAATAATATAATGGTGTAGATAACGATTATAATAACGATAATTATAATGATAAAAAATAAGGATAATGATAATGATATTATAAAGATATTATAAGTGCAGTTATAATTATACTCTTAACCATAATTAGTTATAATTATAATTATATTTATATTTATAGTCATAATTATAATTATGATTATATATTATAATTATATTAATAATAATTTAATAATAATAAATACTCAATAGATCAGAAATATTTAGAACAACTCAGATCAAATCAATTAGATTTTGATCAGACTAGAAAGATTCAGATTAGATCGGATTAGAAAGATTTATATCAGATTGAAAAATTCAAATCAAATTGGATCGAAAAAGTTTAGATCAGATCAAATCTTAGAAATTCAAATCAAATGTACAAAATGCTTCTAAGTATGTTTGAATGGGACAATGAAAGGTGTAGATAATAATGGAAAACAAACATATAACAACTTTCAATGACAATGAAATGTGTAGATAATAATGGAAATACTAGAGAACGTGATTTTTTTAAATAACTTTGAATTGTAAACTTTGAAAAACTTATTAGAACTCATGCACAAGAAAATAATATTTACAAATTAAGGAGAATTTTTTAAAATAAACTTTTGTCGTATAAACACATTATAAAAATATAATGGGAGAACTATCAAATAAGCCCTCAAACTTTCATAAAAAATGCAAATAAGCCCTTTTACATGAGGCATTGTCCGGCTGTCGCCATTTGGGGCGGTTTCCGATGAAATTTTTTAATGAAAGTTTTTGAGCATCTTCTTCATTAAGTCTAGTTTACCCATACCAAATTTCAGCTAAAAATTCAATCGAGAAGGCAGTCAAATGATTTTCTGAAATATATTGCGATGTCTAATTGCGCAGTTATCTTCAAAAATTCACTTGGCTGTCTTCCCGATTGAATTTTTAGCAGATATTTGGTATGAATA